TCCCAGCACTCTCCCTGCATCACAAAGTCTTCATCAGGTCAAGGCCAGAGTTGGGGACAGTACCACAGCAGCTACTTGCCCTGGACTGTACTTGAATTTATGATGAGGTTCCCTCCCCCCGCCCCCGTGTTGAATGTTGCTTCAAATTTTGTTTTTATTCCGTTTGAACATATGAAACAGCTAACTTCTATTTGTCTCCATGAAATGCATCAAATTTTCTATGATGGCAAAGTGTAAATTTATACATGATTACAATGTGTTCCAACAGTAGATAAAAAGTTATGTGCAGTCTCTATCATTGATGCAATTCAATATCAGTTTTGTTATCTATCTGTAAAGCACTGTTTCAATAAGGATGATTTGATATATAAAGACGATTTGATGTATTAAATGATCCAAGGGCAAAAGAACAAGAAACTTGAGTTTTAAATAGATCTACATCGTAGTTTCCTAAGGTTTGCCCACAGTGGTTGCAAAGTGTTAACGCAACTAAACAAAAATCAAGTATGCACACACAATGTTATTTTATTACTTGCTAAAATGAAGTATTTTTTCACTAAAATCTTACCTAAAGAATGTGCAGCTGTGGTTTTAGAACTGAAAAATCGTCCAAGACCAAGATCTCCAAGCTTTACTACCCCTGTTGCCGTAATGAAAACATTAGCTGGCTTTATATCTGAGAAGAAAAACATATTTTGCAGTCAGTTAGCAATAAAAATATGAATTGGCTATAATACATGTAAAAAGCCATTTATTTTGGTGTGAAGTTAGCCAAGTATGGAAATAGCTTGTAGAATACTTTGTAATTAGTTAATAAAGGTACATTTAGGAATTTTTTAAGCATTCAAATTAACTTTATTTTGAAATGGTATAAATATGAAGCAATTTGAGGAAGACAAATACTGAGCAAAGAAAAGGATAACAATAAAATAAGCCTAAATATGAAACAACAGCATATGTATAGTCTGACAACAGCTCTATGACAGATTCCTTAGTGTTATCAAACTACTGCTTTACATTTTAAATATCACACTAAAAAACCTTACAATCCATTTCCATTATTTTGCCTGATCAGATTGCACATGACACCATGACATATATGTAAAATAAATAAACAATTTTCTTGAATAACAGACATGTACTTTTCAAAAAGTTTCATTCAGGAGAAAGACAATTTGAACTCCTTCAGTAGAATTAGGCTAATAAAACATGTAATAAAAAAGGATGTTATATAACCCATGCAGTTATATTTTGCAAACAGCATTCAATCTAAACCCTAACTCTACTCTTTGCTGTACAATTTTGGGATGATAACACTTTTTAAAATGGTACCTAATACTAGCCTCCTAACAACCTAAAATTTACCTTATCTTTATACCTGTTGAATGCTCCTAGCACAGACTGCTCAGAAGTTTTGAGCTTGTATTGATAACCCTAATTACCCTGCTCTGAGGGGTTTTTTTTTTAACCTGAAACTTTATGCACATTTAACTTTTTTCTGGAACACTGGGAAATGTTACCATTTAAAGGGTTAGTAACGGAGTTATTTAGACTTATCCTATTTTGTCATATAACGTGCCCCCAAATGAGAGAGACACCCTTTTTCTTGGAAGGTAAAAACTAAGAAAGAAAAAAAAAAGATTTCTTCAGTCATGGCTTGCAGCTAGGCTTTTCATGGAGAGGCAGTGTTGCAAGATAACTGCCAGCTTCTTTCTGGGACAAGCAGAAGAGATGAAATTCAGTCCTACTCCGTCAAAAACTAGCTTATTTGATAGTAACTATGAAAGGGTTAACACTGGACTCTGCCCCTCCTGCATCCTACCTGAAAGAGAAGCTGACAGCCATCTTACAGCAAATTAAAATCACATTCCTTGCTTAAGATATTTGGGGGTTGATTTTGGGGGAAAAATTTTGAGGGTTAATTTTTAGGAAAAGGGGCTCATGGGGCATGTGAGTAAATATGGCATTTAAGATTCTCATGAGATGAAGTATACTTTTTTGTCACATTTTATCTCCATGCAGTTAGTAATTTCAGATATTTGGTCTTTAATATGCATGCATGCATGTTAAAAAAGAGAACACAGACAGACAGACCATACAAATTAGCTCTTTGCACAGGCAGCTGGGTCTACTGCATGACTCCAACTATACATCCCAGACCATCACAGAATTAGGTAAAGATCTGAGCTTCTTCCTGCATACTTGAATCTCGGCAATATATAGCCACCTAGAAAGGTGGAATTTAAGAATAACCCAGAGAAAAGCATTCTGGCTAGGGACAGACATTACAGATAAACTGGTTTAAGTGATCACAAACTGGTTTACACCTGGAACAGATGTTCAGTGAACAGAAACTAGTTTGAAAATGGCTGAAACCAGTATGAGATAAAACTGACTAAATGTAGTATCAGACTGAACTGATTTGCGTCAAACCAGTTTATGCAATGTCTGTCCCAGACCCCTTCCAGGTTTAAGTTAAACAAGACTCTTCCAGCATCCTGGAATGCTCAATGGGCTGGGTTCTCTGCTCCACAGCAGAGCTGGTCCCTCCCCTGTGGTCCCTGGCTGGAGCTCCAGCAGACACTGCAGGCATCTGCCTGGCTTCCTGCTTCCCCCACCCTCCTCACCACTTCCTGCTAAGCAGGGATTCCCCCTCCCCTCTGCCTTACACAGACACCTCTCAGCACTAGCTAGCATAACACATGCTGGCTATGGCCCATGCTGTGGCAGACAGGACAAAGGCAGACAGCTCAATTTCTACTTAGGGCTTTTTGGAGCTAATCAACAGGTAGCTGGTAATATCCCTCCCTTCCTTCCTTGGAAAAAGTTGTTTAAGAAGAGCTTGAACTAATGAGAGAGGCTTTGTTTTCTGATGGGGTGATAAATGCTGATAACAGAGCTGATAAATGTTCTGTTATCAAGGAGGGAGACACGCCTCCCTAATCAGAGCATCCTGTAGCGGCCAGGCCATGCCCCCCACAATTCAGCACTGTGAAAGTGAAGAGAGAGCTGTTCTAGTGCCCCCCAGCTTCTAGCCTGCAGGCATGCGCCAGCATTTCTTCAGTCCATAGGGGATGTCTGTATGGTTACAAACCAGGTTAGTCTAGCAGGTTAGACTAATCTGTAAAGACTGAGTCAATTCATGCTCAGGCTTTTTCAATGTCTATCCCTAGCCTCTAGGTGCCACTTGTGTCCTTCTTTGCCATCTCTATTCCCATTTCTTTGGCCCAATGAAGGGGAAATGGAGATGTTGTGAGAAGAAGCAGAGAGGGTTAACATGGGTAAGCGGCATTCCATCTCTCACAGGAGCAACTGGAAGCTACAAAACTTGATAATATGGTTGGAAGCAGTGGAGAGGAGTAAAGGAATGTGACAGCATAAACTGTGCAAGTTGGGAAACTTAATGAGTATATCAGCAAAAGGATGCATAGGAGACAATGTACATGTGTCTGAAGTAAATGGGAGTTTGAGAGAAAAAAAGCAACCATGAGCAAGGTGGCAGAGAATGAAGGTAAAGAGATCTGAAAGATCCAAGGGAGGAAATAGGAGAAGAGATGGGATGAGAAATACGAGCTAGCAGATGGATTGGGGGAAGTAAGAAGGAGAAATGTTGGCAAGGTCTCAGGCACCTAAAGCCCTATCACTTATTTTGAACACTAAACATCAACTAGCTATTTGGCACAAAATGCTAAATACCAAATATTGCACAGCAGCATTGTACCCATGATGGCCCAGAAAATATTTAGGAAGAATTTTTTACATCTATTAGGTAACTGTATACAGATATAGCAAAACAAAATCCTCTCCCAGCATAGCAAGTCACAAAACCCCTATGCCATGTCTTTCAAAATAAACAATTTAATTTTTTAAAATAAAATAGCATGACTGTATTTGGTATCATTCAAAATGACATCCCAAATGTTCATATCTTAAATACTTGTTAGAGATGTGATAGATATAATCCATGGTATTACCTCTATGCATGACACGACGAGAATGCATGTGTTCCAATGCACTGCAAAGCTGAACAAAGTACTTCCAAACTGTCCTTTCAGGAATCAACCTCTTCTGTTTCTTAAAATGCTTTATAAAAAAGACAAAAAGAGAAGTACTAAAGACTCAATTCTGGATTTGTACAAAACAATAAAGTATGAAAACAGGAAACTCTTTTAAAACTGTTAAGATGAAAAGTTCACTCTACCTAAATGAAAGTTTCTAAAATTATTTCTTCATGTGGACAGCACAACCAAAATTTTAAACACACAATTTCCGCAGCAGAGAACATATATTAAACACACACATGCAGATGCTGCCTTTAATATCAACTACTTAAATAAATCTATAATTCTAACCAGAGTTTACATGGTATTTAACAAAATAATACTATTCCAAGATTAAAAAGCTTTACTGTGGGACAGTATGATGTAGTGCACAATCAGTGTATCAATGACTGGGTGAAGGCAATATACAAGAAAAGCTTCTATAGACATTCCCAAAATAAAGGTGTGCTTTACCAACACATTAATTTCTATAGGCTCTAATTTGAATGAGCTTAGATGAAAGAAAAATACTGAGAACATGCATTCATAAGTATATTTTAGAAGCCCTGAAAAAACTAAAACTAAGAATACAAAAAAAATTTGTAAAAATTTAGATAACTTCAACCAATCACTTTCTCCATTCTGTTCAACCTTTTCCCGGTTAAACAGGTACAGTAGTCATAGTTTAAGGTATTATTATAGTTTAAGAAAAACTTAACATTCAACTATATAAATCTGTTTCAAATACGGTATTTCAAGATGGCATAACTGCAGTTTTCCATTATTTTAAATTAAGAATCTGTAACAGCCAGTTTTAAAAAAATGCAAGTTTGAGTGTTAAGCTTTGCAGGCAGGAGTCAAAGGGCTAAAACAAAAATAGTTTCCTAAAGGTCTGTAGCTTGTCTTTTCTATAAGAAGGAAGATAATCCGCACATACCTTACAAACCATTTATTAAAATACACAACCAATATAAAATCAGCATTACATTTGAAAGAAAGATCATTTACAGAACAGTTATCAACGCTATAGGAAAAGAGATTTTTTGTTTTGTTCACTATTTTAAAATATGCCACTTGGGCTGCATCCCAAAACAAGAGACATACATAGGAGAAAGGGAAAGGTATTTTAAAACTAATCTGAGTAAAACACACTAGAGATATATGAAGTCAAAATTTCACCCAAAATAGTAATTTTAGTTGTAGACAATATTATGCATTTTATTCAAATGATCCTAAGCTTATAATTCATTTCTTTAAATATAATTTTCACACAGACTTGGATTGAATCCAAACAGACCCTGTGTATCTGTTCTCCCCATAGCTAGATTTGCATATCAGAGGATTGTTTGATGTCAACAGGAAGATGGGGACCAGGTTTCTTTTCATTTAAAAACAAATACAGAATACCATGTAAGTATATGCATATGAAAGCATACTTCCTTGATTTAAAATGCATTCTGAAATCACTGTAATTAAACTATGTACTTTAAAAAACATCTTCCAAATGTTTAAACTGAACTTTTAAGCATTGCAATGGTGAAAAACTGCTCACAAAATGTCTGTATCTTTTCCATTATGAACTTTAAAGTGAAACATAATGTTTGTAAATATGAATTTCTTTTCAACATTTCATTCATTTGCCATCTGTAATTTTGTAGCACAGCGTACACAAAATACCAGAGAAACTGCTTCAGTGTTTCAGTGATTTAAGCATTCCAGTCATCCACATAAATATGGAGGATATTCAGATCCTACTGAAAGCCTGCAACTTTTACATGACATTAAACAAATTTCTCTTCGGTCATCAGTAATATTCACTTGCTACAAATGTAAACTTTTAATTTATTATTCATGTTAAGAGGATGTCACAGAGAACTGTTAAATTTGTTCCCACTGTTTAATGAAGCATTGAATTCAGTACAGAAATAGGTAATATTTCATCTGTTTAAAATTAAAAAAAACCCAATTTATTTTAAATCGGTCTGTATAAAATTACTGGGAGGAATTATCATACTTTTTGTCTCATGCATATTCTTAATCTTTCCTTGTTTTGTGCTGCACAAAGAAGCAAAACAATGGTGGAAAGCTAGAGCTGTTAAAGCAGGCTGGTTTGGCAAAGGAACAGATCTTCAGCCAAGGACTGTGTTTTCAGGGAGTAACTGAGGGAGACTTTGGCTTTTGGGGAGAGGGGAAAAAAGAAAATACACCATAAAATTAATCTGCTCTTGACTTTACTTTTCACCCCAATTTGTAACAAGATATTTTTATGTTAATACAATATAATCAAATTTGTAACATATATCGTATGCTGGAAAGTACCATTTTAAGTCTAAACAAATATACAGCTCCTTCCATTTTTATCTTGCCTTTTCATTACTTTAAAAACACTCTCAGTGAAAAAATGCAATTGTTCTATTGTGCTATTGGCCATCTCCTAGGGCACGCCTGGTCAACCCACAGTGAGGGTGTCACAAGTATATCAGGCAACCTTGGCGTGTGGCATGTAGCAGATAGGACAGCACACAAAAAGCAGAGCATCAGATCAGGCAGGGAGCACAAGGCATGGGGCAGAAAGCTAAGACACAGATCAGGTAAAGGAAAGATATTGGAGTGGTGCACGAGGATGGTGCAGAGCTAATTTGTGGCATGCCTGCCAAAAAGGTTTGTCCCCACTGTCCTAGGGAATGGCTGGAACACAAGAAGATGGGAACCAAAGGGGAAAAAAAGAAAGGAAGGAAAAAGACAGTCTTGAACTTTTATCATAGTAGGGTATTGGCATCACTGTAGTTAATGCTGACACTACTACTGTTGAACAGTCAAACTTTCTACGTTCTCTCAAATACAAACTTACTTAAATTGCCTTGAAAACACGAGGGCCCCTGGCAGATGTGCACAAATGCAAAATGGGATCTTATATGTGATCCCCACAATTGTGCTTCCTGCCATGCCACATGTGCATGGCAGGAAGCATGACTGTAGGATTGAGTATCAGATTCTATCGCATCATATTGCCAGGGCAGAATTCTAGGCTCCCTCTGCACCAGCAAGTAATAGGCTCACACACCTAGGAGCCCCAACAAGGGATGGGGCTCTCAGCCACTGAGGTGTCCCAAGCTCTCTGTGGCTGGGAGCCCAGATTAGCTAATGGGGTTCCCTGACACAGAGACACAGTGGAGCCCTGGTCTCCAGCTACATCCCAGCAGCTGGGGCCTTGACCTGCCTGCTCCCAGGTCAAGGGGATGTATCTAGGGTGAACCCTGACATCCACAGAATACAGAACATCCCCTTGGTGAGGGATGGGCCCTGTTGGCCAATCAGCAGTGAGGGGTAGGGCTGCCACCTCCACAGCCAATAAGCTGCCAGGGGTGGGGCCACTGGGTCCTTGGCCAATCAGCAGCAATGGGCATGGCCATCTGCCTCCCTGGTTGGGAACCCTGGTTGTGGCCTCTTGACTCCAATGGGCCCCTAAGGTTAGCTGCTCCAATCAGCCTGGCCACACATTCAAATAATGATGCAACATGAACCAGGCATAAAGTTATTAAACTTATTCTGTGTAATAACTCTGTGGCTTATTCCTTTTGTCGTACCATTTATTGCATTAATGTGTTGCCAGGTAACTACTTAAGATGCGATTAACTGTTTAATGTACAGGTATTCCAATGTGTCACTTCATATTAGATCGGCATTGATAAAAGGAAAATTGACATTAACAGCAACTGGCTTTTTTTTTGCTGGTGTAGCCGATAACGTCACTGATAAATGCTGCGTGCATGCACTCAGCCACAGCATGAGGCAAGGTGGGGGGTGCAGATTGAGACCCCCTCCCCATCATGAGGGAGGGAGAGGGGCCAGGACAGGGGAAGGCACTGCCCAGCCAGGACGGAGCACAGGACGGAGCCACGGGCAGCTTGTTCAGCGGTCATAGGATGGGGTGGTGGTAAGAGGGCTGACTTCCCACCATTGCATGCACCTCTGGTGGGAGGCATGGGGAGCATGTGCCCCCGCAGATTTGTGCACAAGGTAAGGGCAGGCTGCCCACTGAGAGCTCAGGGCCAGAGGCTGAGCTGGCCTCTTCACAGCAGGGGGACTGGGCTGTGGCTGCACTCAGGATGAGCAGGGGCAGGCAGGGCAGCAGTGGCACTGGGAGGGGTATCTACAGGGTGCGTTTCAGCTACCCCAAAATTCCCCAAAGCCACCACTCTCAGAGCCACCACCCACCCCGCCCCCACCCATTCCAAGCACAGCCCTGGCCCAAGACCCACTGGGAAGAGGCTGGCACAGCCCCTGATCCTAAGCCAGCACCAGGCAGCTCACCCTCATCCTGCCCACAAATCTACCCATGCCTCCCCCAGGGGTGCAGGCAGCAGCAGCGGAGCCCCCCTTTGCACTCCCTTGTGACCCCCTAACGAGCTGTCCGTGGCTTGCTCTCATGCCCCACCCCACCCTGGAGAGGTGTCACATGTATCAGCATCCCCACACTGAAAAATGGCAACAGGGGTGCTTTAACTAAAGCTCATCACATGAGCTTTAGTTAAAGTGCCCCACCACCATTTTTAAATTCAGATATGCTGATACACGTGACACTGGAGTCTGCTGGAGTGTGGTAATTATCGTGCTGCAGCAGACTTGATTAATTGATTAATCAAGTCTGCTCCAAGACGCTGTACAGTACATTGGAGAAGCCTCCTTGCACAGGTATAGGCACCCATACTGTCCTTTCTTTAGCAGTATTTGGTGGAGTGCAATTGCCACAATATAAGCACAAGTGAAAATCTTTCTTGAGGAAGAAACTTAAGCTTAATGCTATGAAAAAAAGGAAGACAGAATGGATAGATTTGAAGAAGTGGATGAAATGGAGTAATAAGCAAAGAAGTTCTCAGCAAGAAAACTAGGAGTGCACCAATAGATATTTTTTGGGCTGATACTAATGGCTGATTTTTAACAAGCCATATTGGCTGATACCTGTACTATTACTGATACAGAGCTGGGCAACTTGGAGAGCAGTGTCCAGCTGGTAAGTCTGTTGGAGGGGAAGGGGCACAG